AGGCCTCATCCACCCGGGCCTTGAACCCCTCCAGGCAGGGGGCATCCACAACCTCTCCGGGCAATCTGTTCCAGAGTCTTGCCATCCTCATACTGAAGAAGTTCTGCCTAAGATCCAGTCTAAACCTACTCTCCTTCAGTTTAAATCCATTTCCTCTTGTCCTGTTGCTGGACACTCTTGTGAAAGTCCCTCTCCAGCCTTCCTGTAGGTTCCTTTCAGCTATTGGAAAGCAGTTCTAAGGGCCCCCCTGGAGTTTTCTCTTCTCCGGGCTCAACAATCCCAGTGCCCTCAGCCTGTCCTCTTGCAGATATGCTCCAGCCCCTGGATCAGCTTTGTGGCCCTCCTCTGGACTCATTCCAACAGATATATGTCCCTTTTATATTGGAGACACCAGAACTGGATGCAGTATTCAAGGTGGGGTCTCACAAGAGCTGAGTAAAGGGGGAGAATCGCCTCTCTTGACCTGCTGACCACACCCCTCTTGATGCATCCCAGGACGTGGGTGGCCTTCTAGGCTGCATGAGTGCACTGTTGGCTCATGTTGAGCTTCTCACCAATCAACACCCCCAAGTCCTTCTCTTCAAGGCTACTCTCAACCAAAGCAATAGATTTCTTCCCTTCCTATACAAATATTTCCTTATAATGCTAGTAGTAAGAGAGTTCAAGATTGGAGAGACAGGACATAAGGATGTCAAGGTAAACGACTGCTACTATTATAACAAGACAACATATCCCTTTAAAAATCTTCATACTTCTGTTCACCTTTTCCAACAAGCACAGAAATAAAAAGGTCCTATGTTTTTTTTTCTGTCTTTCTGTTGAAAACCTGGGATTTTTTCAATGCTTACTGAACTTCTGAGATCCATCCATTGACATCAGGTATGTGAAGAGTAACACCATTTTATGCAAGTTGGAAAGTTTTTCAAAAGTCACTTAGGGTGTCATCTTTCCCAGCAGGAGAAAAAGTATAATTAGTGAATCAATTGGCTTAATGCTGTTAGAGATTATATAATAGATTTTCATTTCAGGGTGGGTTTTTTATTTTTTTTAAGATTTACAAGGAGGACTCTATTCTTTCTCTAGCTATGTGTGACATATGCTTATAGATATGATAAAACTCTGTTTTCACCTATTTTTGTTGAAAGATTTATATCAAGAAAACATTAATTGGTAACATCCCATGGTATTCGCTTCCTACCTGCACCATTGATCAAGAAAATGACATGACCCCAAAGAGTTTCAAAGATAAAGATTTTCTTTCCATTTAATTCAACTCACAAGTGTCTGAGTATTACATAGCTCTTACTCCACAGATAGTTTCATGGATATTTGTGTTGCAAATTTGTCCTTATTCCATATGGGATATGAGTATGGTGGAGAAGAAACTGTATTTATCAGGATTTCTTTCAGTGTGTCTATGAAGCTCCACTTGTTATAGTGATACAAAGGATGGAATTATGATGAGCAAACTGGCTCTTCATATCATACAGGCAAATACCTGCTTACAGATGTCATGTGAACACACACGAGAGGAGGACATTATTAATGTACTACGCTATTTATAACGACTCCTTAAGAAGTTAAAAACAATGGCAACCACATTACTAGTATTTATAGTAAGTATTCATGTTGTCAGATGGATTTTGAATAATGTCCCAGACTGGGTCACGGCATTGTAGACCTTGGCTCGGATTCCTGGAGTGATAAACTGGGAGATGTGCAGAGCAGTTAAATATATTCATAGTTTGGCATCAAAAACCTGGTTCTCAATGAGATTAACTGACTCAGCTAGCACAATCAGTGAGGGCTAAGGGAATTAAACTTTTCGGGTGTCTCTTCATCATTATAGAAAGCCTACTCTCCAAATCAAGTCTGGCTTCCCCTCTGTCATGCTACTTCATTCTAACAAGAACTTCTTGTACAGCTAAGAAAACACAAGTGTTAACAGCAAGTAAAACTGTTCTGTGACACCTACTTTCCTGATTTTGATTAAAATAAATTCAAATATGTTTCTACCATTTGTGCAAGATAAAATGTTCAGCCGTCATTTTCAAGTTCTCCACTTGTGAGTACAGAAAGCCTCACTCCCCCAGGCAGAGACAAGCACTGCCAGCAGCTGATACCACTAACTTTAAGTGTTTTCAGGCTTTCTTTATACAGCATTGCAGATTACACCCATGTAAGCAGATTAACTTGATTATTTCAGAAATATCAGATGATATATTTCTATATGTGGAATGAGTTTGAGAGACACTGATAGCACCCAAGAGTCAATGATACACAGTCATTTAAATTTAAACTTAATGACTGGCATCTCCATGCACACTGATAACTGAATTCAAAGTATTTCATATGTAGGTGTTGTTAAAAAGGAGTTATGTGTGCATTCAATAAATACAATTTTACTTTCAAGATGTTTTAATGACAGTTCCCATTATGATAGTTTACCATTTCTTGACACAGAATATTTCACAATGAATATTTCAAAATAAAAAGGTTCAATATTTCACACTTTCACAGTGACACTATGTCAAATATGTTCTAGAGTTCACCAGATACTTGGTATACCTTACTCTTCCTACTCTTCCTAAAAGGTTTATGGAACAAGATCCCATGTAGTAAAGGAGATCGTGTAAGATCAACACAGAAATGTCCCCAGAGCTATGGAAAGAAACACAGATGTGTTTTTTCCATGCTGTCAGCATATATGTATGCATGACAGAAGTATACAGTTCACCTTTACAGACAGGCAGGCTACAAGAAAATACCTCTTTGAATACCTAAATTTAGTTTCAGCTCAGTACAGAGTATATGTTTTCATATGGAGGATATCCAGTATTAGTCAAAAATAGCCTGATTTACCTAGCATTAAATTATAATAACCTAAAATAGGAAAAATATATTTCTATCTATCGCATGCATAGAAAACTAGATGACATAAACAATGTCATAATTAGGTAGTCTGGGGTTTACTGCATTTTCAGTAGACCCAGCTAGACTGTCACAGCATTTTTGTGTCAAATGCTGACCCTTTTACTCTTTCAGTAAAGTTGCTTAAAAATATCTGCTGAATGTTTTTTCCAAATCCTATATCTGGAGTCCAGTACTAATATCAGTCACTCCTCACAGAATTTTGACAGTCAGGTTCAGATCCCTCTGTGAGATGCTCTGTGTCTTCAACTGTGATGCTTTGCAATTGGAAAGCCAACAGTATCCTGCATTAAAACCTAAACCCAGCTTGACCCTCGGCTAGGTCAAGGAGGAGGCAGGAAAGAAAGAGGAGGATAAAGAGAACAGCTGGCTTGATTTTATATATATATATATTTAAAATATCTTGCTGTTCAAATCATGCTTGTTGGCCATTTTAGTATAGTATTGAAAAAAAAAAATCTGATTGTAGGTCATCTCATCTTGGTTTAATATGCATTAAAAAAAAAAAAGTAAATTTAAAAATAAATTAGGCAAAAGTAAGGTTTATTACTTGGTGTGTCTGTAGTGTTAGCTCAGATACAAGCTTGAATATGAAACGAATGATCAGGATTATCCAGTATTTTTAGACACAGATTCAAGCTGTAGTTAAATATGGACCAAATAAATTAAACAAGGTAGGTGAAATTTGGCAGAGAAAAGTAATGAAATCTTAAGTCAAATTCTCTATCACAGAAGACACATGGCACAGGGAGCGACCCATGGCTCTCACCCAGGACTGGCTAACAGCCTGTGTATTTTCCTTTTGAGAAACAAAGACTCCAGGGCTAGCTTTGCTTTACCCTGCCTCCAGAAATGTCCTCTTTTGCAGCAGAATATCCAAACAGGAATGACTCTCATTCATATTTTGGTGCTTTAATCCCCATAGTTATCTCAAGAGGCATCAACAGAAGTATCATGGAACCTACCACATCCTTACCCACAGCTCTCCTGTCCAACCTGAAGCTCTAAGAACTTGTATCTCACCTGAAGGCATCTCTTTCTTGCCCCATCATATTGTGGATGTTAACTCTCCAAGCATACACATTTTCTAAATCCATCACTCTCCCTATATGAATTCTGAATTTCAATGCTGAACCACCCCCAACACCCTTCCCCCCTCTCCCCCAAATCTGTAACTTGACTGGTTAATTATTGTTCAGTTTACCTCTCTTCCTTGAATGCCTTCAGGTCCTGGTTCTCCTTTATCTCCTTTTTCACCCTAAAAGAATGAATTTTTATTTTATTATATATACAAGACAAATACTAACACTTGACAATTTTCAACAGGAAAAATATTTTAAGATTCTGGTCTGTTCTACATGACATACTACACACATATTTCTGGATGCACGAGCAAAAGTATTCCCTACATTCCAAGAGAAATTCTTTCCAAATAAACTTGCCTGAAAAATGCCTAGCACTCTGAGAGTTGCAGTTCTCTGTACTTCACAGTGTCAATGACCGTTCATAAAGAGTCACCACAGAAAAAATATTCTTGGTTATCACAGTGTTCCGAGAACACAGTGGTGAAACAAATTTACTGGGGGATAGTTTTCCTTCTGAAAATCTTCACATTTAAATTAATTGCTTTCACTCTGAGACTGTTTAATAAAGAATTCTTGCTTTTTCAAGATATGATAACAGAACTGTCCTCCATAGTATAATTTGTCTTTGACTCATACTGGTATATAGTTCACTGCATTTGAAAAATGGAAACAATTTCTGTTCTAAAAATTTTCTCACAAGTATGAATATGAACAACATCATGACTCAAATGAAAAAAAAAATGGTAGGAAGAATCTTTCAGAATTGACTATATAGGCTGGTTCTTTTGTTTCCTCATGAAACACTGACTACAAAACAAAATATTCTTTACAGTACACATGAAAGGATTTAGTTCTGCATTATCTCTAACTACCATGCTATTTTAGTTAACGTATTTCATCAAAGTGAACAAAATACACCTGCTTAAGAAGCATAATTTAAGGGAGAATGTCTTCCAGAACCAACAAGTCTAAACAGCTTTATAATTGCATCTTGGTCACTAGGCTGAACTTTGTCAGATCACAAAAGTAATTCTGACAAAAGTGTGAGAAATTACTGCAGTAGAGTCCAAGCTCTTCATAGCAACTAAAGAAAGTCACCAGCCCTTCACTGAGTTTCCATTATCTCCAGGGGACTACACTTGTCTGGGCAGAACCTATTCATTATATCAGCATCATCTTTGTAATTCTGTTAGGTAAATGGTATTGAACTGAGATCATTCAGCTAATTCTATTTGTGACACAGCCCTGATTCAGAGCTGTTCCTCCAGTGGTGATGACAGAAGGCATTTCATCTAATAATCAGTTTTGCAAAATGAGTTTGTATGAGCTTTCTCAAACAACTGAAGCCTACTAACAAATTAGCAACAGCAAACTGTGAATTTAATAATCCCATGTGCAAGATGGCTTCGTTAGTCCATTGTTTCCATTTTAATGCACCTTGTTGATAACAAACTCAATGCTACACACTAGCCTGAATCATACTGTTGAGGTTTTTCCTCAAGTATTGCCCTTCTTGCCTGTCAAAACCAACCCAAAACTCCCAAAAGCCCCAAACAGATAAATCTATGCATTTATTGTGAAAGTTGAAATGATACCAAACAGTTGTAAGAATTTAACACTGGTTATTTTAGTATGTTTAAATCATAAAGACTTTTTTCTATGGGTTAAGGCACTGGTTGAGATAGTAATTTTCTTTCACTGAGAGTTTAAAAAAATAGCATTAAAGTTCCAAACTTACTATTCTTCTTAAAATTGGTGACTTAAACTTATGTAAGAAGCTGCAAAAATGACATTTTATTTCTTGTCACTGTGACACACTGAACATTTCAGAATCTTTCAGGTAGTAGCAATTACACTGGTACAGTCTTGCAGCAGCTACAAAGGTGCAATCATACATTTGACATAATATCTGCTTATCAAATATATTTCTAGATGATTGAAAAATCATTCCAATTCATGGAGCTGTTTTTTTTTCTATGATTTATCTGCTCTCATACTTTAAGAGAAAATGACACAAATATGTACAGATTCACTGCAGAAATAGTAGCACTCTGTAAATTCCTTGATGCACAGGCGGAAACCTAAGTTAAAAGTATTGTGTCATAATTTGTTATGCAACATCTGCATTCATATAAAAACCTAGAGAGCCTAAGCCAAAAGACAGCCCTCCTCTCACCCTTGCTTATCATTTGCCTTGATGTTAGATGAGCATGTGTTGGAGACCACGCCTTTCATTGATACAACAGGCAGACAGCAACTTTAAAATGCTGGTGGGCAGTTCTAGACACATACACATGTGGCTGGTGACTTCAGAGAAGTAAGAAAAACTCTTCATAATTTACAAGATATTAAGATGTTTGTCATTTTCTTAGACAAAACGATTAAAAGCTCCTCCGGCCCCGCTAACGAGCATCGGACTGCTGCAGAGTCTCAAGAGCTATGGGCTTTCTGCCAGGTGGGCAATTTTACTATGAACATATTCTGATTTTTTAATGGAGTAAATGATTTGTTCTCGCCAAGCCTGTCAAATGGAATACCCGTGGCCTCTCTGAAGCCAGAATTCAAACCAAACAGAGGTCCAATTTTTACCATTTATTCTCATGAGACCTGAGCCAAGTCACGCTCATTTCTGCCTTTATGGAACACACTATAGTGCATAATTAACAGCTTCAAATGTAGCCAATTTGCAGACTCACTGAAGCCACTCTGCAGTGTAAAGGAGGCTGTTAATAACCAACATTGTGGCTTACCTCATAGATTAACAAAAAAGAGAGAAAAATGTGTTAATGTCATTTTATATCTAATGTTCCTGCCTCATTATACTATATTCAGAAGAAAAAATTAAAGATTACTTATTGCAAAAACAGGATGACAAAACTCTGGAAATGCCATGCCTTGTTTATTAGTTAATGAAAACTAATCCAATATAACACTGAATTACTTGTACGTCTTTGGGTGCATTCTGCTTTCAATTACCCTGGTGGGACAAGCTGATGGGTTTGCTCCACTGTAGCTGCTGGGAGGTATCCAGTCTGCTGTGTGTAACAGCGGACACACTGCATTCACTGGTAACATTCTCTAATTAAAGCCAGGGCTTCACGCGTGGCCTCTGCAAGAGCAGAGTACCTGCCTTTCACTCACTTGTCCATGTTAAGGCTGCCTCATTTTCCTTGCATGCCATTTCCTCCTTACAATAAAGGCAAGCTAATGCATTTGGAAATAAAACACATTCATACCAAAGAATTTACCTAAAGAGGTAAAGTTTTTGTTTGTTTGTTTGTTTGTTTGTTTGTTTTTTTCTTCCCAGCACTGGCCTGTTAATGATACTAATCAGGAATTCCTGATTATCCTTTGTTCCAAGCATTTTAAAGTCAGTAAAATAACCGAAATACTCTCCAAACTACACAAACTACGCAGTATCACTAACTCACTGTGCATACCTTATATTTTTTAACTTCAGAAACTCCATGATTTTACCCTGCATATATTTAAGATAGTTATGGTAGTTGTGTTTTTTAAAACATTTCTCTGTGTTTTGTTACAGCTTTGCCTCAGCAGAATGCTCTGTGTGGATTTTCTTTCCTTTTGATCATTCCTCCATAGCTTCTTTTAAACTGAACACAGCTCACAGCAATGCTTATTATTATATAACTAAAACTAAGTAAGACATAAATTAAAAACATCAGCACCTTCAGTTTAAAAAACCCTCTCTGTTTCTCTTTCTGGTTTTGCTGATAGATGCCTGGAGAACTGGGGTTATGAAGGGCTCCATCTCAATCATATTCTTATTGACTGCCCTGTAACCTCTCTGCAGAACGTGGAATAGCTTATGAAAGTGGCAATAGTCGGGGTGAAGCACCTCAGGACTACTGAGACACTATACCATTCCACCAGGAGTGGAAATCAAGGCACAATAATGATTTTAGTCCAGACTGGGAGGAACTATGCAAGGAAATGGAAGGGTGACACAAGAAGCTTACATCCATGGAGGCTGTAATCCTGTGTTACGTAAGACTATTACTTAAGTAGGGTCAGAAAGAGACTGCATAAAACATTGCAGAAATAGACTTCTAGTAAACTAAAATCAACAGTGATGATGACCTGTAGGATGTCACTGGGAAGCCTGTGTCTTCTCAAGCCCACCTACTTAGGATACTCTGACACAGCATGAACGCAGGTGATCACAAAGATCAGAAATTCAGAGAGTTTAGTAGATATTTTTATTGATAAACTGTGACCAGAAAAACTTCTGATTCCAAGTTGCACCACCACAGTCTTGTGAAAGAACACCAAACAAGAGGTGTCATGCCTGACCAAGCCACACAACATGTCTGGAGAAAGATCTTTCTCTAGTGCTTCACTTACACAGACTGAGCAATACTGAAAGCATTCATATTGGCTAATTACCACTTAGTGTCATGTATCACATTTCTAAGCAAGCTCTAAGCATTTCTAAGCCAGAGAGGCTATATAAAGGCAAACTAACACCTCAACTGAGTCCAGAATCTTAGGCACAGAATGATCTGAAGCCAGGCCAGACCATGGCTCCAAAACTGCTCTGATGAATTACCCTTTCCTGTCATCAGGAATGAGGCAGCCATCCATTTGTATTCTTCATGGTAAGACCTTAAAATGCAAAATGTCTTTGATCAATCAGAACAGCAATCAAAAAAAAAAAAAAAAAAAAGGATCCAGTCCAATAAATGTTACAGTGAGGTGCTCTCCAAATGGAGAAATCAAATGCACAAAAAACAAGCAAAGAATAACTCCTGAAGTACTACTACAGAACAGGATCTGGGGATAATCATGGATCACACAGTGAGCAGAAGTCTGTAACATGAAGCTATTTTTAAAAGGCTAAACTCCTATCTCCATTTACTGAAAGCAAAACTGAAAAAAAACACAATTATTGTAGTTTGCTTGGCACTGATGAGAACAGTGAAAAACACTATCTATCTCATTCAGGGCATCATACTTTTAATGGAAATTTGTCAACTTTTAGATACTTGCTCTTCTCCAAAGCAGAATGATATAAAGTTTGAAAAAAAGTTAGGAGGAAAGAGAGAGGAAACTCAAACATAGGAAAGAATCCTATAAACAGGACAATAAGTTTTCTATAGTAATAACACAAATAATGGGTTTCATTTGTAGCCAGAAGAGTTTAGGTTTGGAG